CGCGCCCCCGCTGCGGGAGGCGCTGGAGGGTGCGGGCCGCATCATCGACCGGCAGGTGCAGGCCGACCGCTGCTACCCGGACCTGGCGGAGCGCCTGGCCGTGCCCGCGCCCGGTGAGCAGCGTCCTCTGCCCGCCTGGCCCGCTCCTGCCCTTATCTCCACACCCGGGGCGGGGAGGGGAGGGGATTCGTGGAGAAGCTGGTCCTCTCGTCCCTGGCCCAGCCCCCTGTGCGGGCCCGGCGCCTGACCCTGGGGTGCCAAATCTAAGCTGCACCCGGGCGGTGCCGGACCGTCCCCGTTCCTGAGACACGCACTCTCCCTCCTGCTGGTCCCAGCAGCTGCCACCTGTGCTGGGTGAGGCTTGCAGGTGGGCCTGATCCAGCCCACGGACCAGCTCTGTTCCATTCTTCCAGTCACATGAGTTTGACACTCTGCAGCCTAAGCAATTAAGCAGCAGGAAGCTGAACAACAGATCTAGGAAGGGGGCACAGGATAGAGAGCAGAGCAGTAGAAGGGGAAGGGGATGGGAGTGGTACTTGCAGAAGGACTGGGACTAATTTATGGCACACATGCAAAAAGTTGGCTCTCACTGTTTTCAAAGAGTTGGGTAGTGTTCCCTGGCCTGGGACCTGGCCCTGAACAGAGAAGGGATTGGTGCTGAAATCCATGAAAAAAGGGTACTTTCAGCTAAAGGCTTTGATCTTGCAACTTCTTGCGCTGTGGACACACTCTGTGTATCTCTTTTCTTTCTCATAATTTATCTGAATAGCAGGAATAGACAGCAGAGGTATAGGTTCCCAACCCCCAGGCCGCGGCCTGGTGCCGGGCCGCAAAAGGCCGGCTGCCGGACCAGAAGTGACTGCAGACCGACAAACTGCAGACTGGAAGTGACCAGCATACTGCGGGTTGTCAGGAATTTGTTAAGTATAAAATATACTGAGTATAAAAAAGGGTTGGCTGCCAGTCCACAGTATGCCAGTCACTTCCAGTCTGCAGTTTACCAGTCTGTGGTTTGCCAGTCCGCAATCTGAAAAGGTTGGGGACCACTGAATTAGAGTATGTTCAGAGGGGATGGGGACTTATTGCAGGTTTGGTGCTTTGCAGCCTGTTTGCCTGCTCTAAAGTTTCAGTAGGTGAAAGTTAAAACAACAGTAACTCGGCCCCGTTTCATTACAGCGTAAGTGTGGGCACCAAGATACCTAGAAGAAGGCAGGGTAGATATATACTTTCTTAAATTAACTAAGACTGATATGGAGAACAAGTTGTAGTGATTCCAAATTCACTTCATCAGATGCTGTGAAAAGACAGCATAGAGCAAAGTATAAAAATACCTGCCACAAGCAGCTGATCAGTTAGTCCCCACTCTCTTTTTGAGCAGTAGGGTTGGAGTGTTGTAGCCATGATGGTCCAAGAAATGTCAAGAGGCAATGCTTTTATGTGGTATCTCTTACTGTTTATCTCAGCCTGCATCTGCTTCCCCTTCACACCTAAAGAAGGGCACTTGATGGCCAAAAGCTTGTCCACTGGTTCTGACTGTATGTTTAATTCATTAAACAAAATCATAAAAAACCTTGTCTCTTTTTAAGTGGAGATAATTTGTTCCATTGTATGGCACATCTCCTGCACCTCTTACAAGAGAGTAAGCTGTCATATTGGTATACTTTTGTTTGCGAGAGATAATGGATATTGCAGCCTATGATGTAGATGGTTTGCAGTGCCTCGTGTGACTGAATAGTCCAATCTGAGATTTGCATGATCTGTGGCAACGGTTGCAAATGTATGTGTCATGGTTGGGTGGTTCGGGAGCTGCTTGCTTCCTATGGACTCTTTTCTCTTCAAGCTGTTGGAGCCAATTCCTGTCATGGGCTTTAATGCCCTGGTGGAGACAGTGACATTACTTGTTCTGATTGCTTGCCAAAGTTTCCCATTGGCCAGGGTCAATTCCAAATGCCTTCATCTCTCGCTTGCATTTATCTTTATAGCAAAGCTTGGGGTGTCCTGTTGTTCCCTCCGATAGTTCCCTGGATAGCATGTCCTTGGGTATATGTGCATCTTCCAATCTGCTCAAATGGCCTAGCCAGCGCAGTTATCTCTGTCCAAGTAGGGCTATCACACTTGGTAAATTTGCCCTTGGAAGAACCTCTGCATTGGGAACTTTATCTTGCCATTTGATGTCGAGTATGTGGCGTAAGCAGCGCAGGTGGAAGCTGTTTAACTTTTCTCTTGATGGTCATGCGTTGTCCATGTTTCCTCACCATACATGAGAGTGCTGAGTATGCAAGCTTTGTACGCTAGCATTTTGGTCATGGTGGTAAACCTTGAGTTGTTCCTTGATCTTTGCTGGAGGTGGTGGCAGCCTTCCTGATACAGGCATTAAATTTTTCACCCAGTGAGAGGTTGGTAGTCACTGTGGAGCCTAGGTAGCTGGACTTCTGGACTACTTCTACCTGGTTCTCATTAAGAGTCATTGGTGGATCTCGTGGAATTCCCTGTCCTAGTACAACTGTTTTCTTTGTGTTGATAGCGAGAGCAAATGCCTGGCAAGCTCTTGAGAGGTGATCCATGAGTTCTTCTAATAGGTCTTCGTCATGGGCTATGAGGGCAAGATTATTAGTGAATAGAAGCTCCCTGATAAGTACCTTTCTAACTTTAGTGTTTGCCTTGAGTTGTGACAGGTTGAAGAGTTTCCCATTTGATCTTGTTTAAAAGTACACTCTCCCTTCCATATCTTTAAACACACAGTTCAGAAGAGTACACTCTACCTTCCATATCTTTAAACACACAGTTCAGAAGTACCAGGATGAAGATTCCAAAGAGTATAGGGGCAATGTCAAATGATTTGGTTAGATCCACAAATGCGATGTACGATGGTTGGTTTAGCTCTCTGCACTTTTCTTGAAGTTGATGCAGGGAAAATATCAAGTCTGTGGTTGAGCTTCTGGCCCTGAATCTGCACTGAGATTCAGGGTAGATTTGACTTGCCAACTGTTGTAGACACACCAAGATGACCCTTGCAAAAGCTTTTCCTGCTGTACTTAGTAGCAAGATGCCTCTGTAGTTGTTGCAGTCGCCCTTACCTTTTTTATACAGGCAGTCCTCGACATACACCATTTCGCACTTACAGTGTTTATAAATTGACGCCCTGTTTCAACTTTCTGACCTCAGTTTAGACTTTACAACGCTTTACAAGTTTGCTGCATCACCCATCTCCCTGGAGAACATCTGTCCAAACTTCCTTGGACACTTTCTTTAAGAAAGCAGACAAGACTCCAGAAAAACCTGCAGCCAAGACTCCTGAGAAGACTCCAGCCAAGAGCCCTTCAGAAAGTCCAGCAAGGTCACCTCAAAGAAGTCCTTCCACATCAATATGATTGCTATTTACAATATAAATACATTAATATAGCTATATTACTCATCTATAATTGATTGAGTACAAAATTCTGGTGTATTTTTGGTGAAAATAGGGTATTGGGCCTTGGTTCAGGAACCAATCCCCCATTTATAACATTGTTTCTCGTGAGAAAATTGGTTCCGAGTTACAACATTTTGACTTAAGATGCGGTTTTCAGGAACCAATTGTGTCGTAAGTCCAAGGGCTGCCTGTACAAAGTGTCAGTGTTTGCATCACGCATGTCTTCTGGTACCTCTCCCTCTTTCCAGCATTTGAGTAGCAGCTGATGAAGGTACAGTAGTAGGCTTTGTTTCCCACACTTGAGAATTTCCACTGGGATGCCATCATTTTCAGGAGCCTTACCACTTGATAACGAATCAATCGCCTTGCTTAGCTCTTCTACAGTGGGCTCCACATCTAATCCTGGCGTGACCTGTCGGGTTGGTATTTGGTCCAGCGATTCACTGGTGATGTTTCTTTCTTGTCAGTATAGTTCTGAGCAGTGTTCAACCCAATGAGACATCTGGTTGCTTGTATCTAATGGTTTCACTGTTGCATGATTTCGGAGGGGCAACCTTGTTGACAGTAGAGCCTAGAACAGTCTTCAGACCATTGTACATGACTTTTAGGTTTTCTATATCTGAGGCTGTGTCTGTCTCTTCACAGAGTTTAGTCCAGTACTGATTTGCACAGAACCTGGTTGCCCTCTGTACCTTGTTTTTTTGCATGTCAGAGTCTTACTTTGATGCTCACTGTTGGCTTTTAGTTGTGTTCCAGATAGGCTGTTTTCTTGATGCTGTTGAGGGGTAATAGTTCTTCTGCATTTTCTTTGAACCAGTGCTTATTAGACTGTCTCTTTTTCCCAAATGTAGCTTTAGCTGTTTCACAGATAGCAGTTCCTAAGCCTTCTCAAAGAAGTCATAAATGTAACTAAAAGGAAAGATTCAGGCATTTTAAAGATTAGTTTTTGTTTGTCTGATAAGAAACTCTGTAATTAGGTCCCTGGCAGACGTGCAGTTAAAGGTGGGGTGGGATCTGATGCACGATCCCCACAGTTGTACCTCACCTCCTTGGACCATGCCACGTGCACCTAGCAAGCCCCTGTGGCAGAAAGCCCCTTGAGCTGATTCGGGGGCATCCCCAGAACTGGGAGCCAGGGATCCCAGCTGCAACCTGAGGGCTAGGAGCCTCAATCAGCTGTTGCTCCCAGCCAAGGGGGCGTATTGGTGTCAGAGGTCCAATGCGCCACTGCAGCTGGAAGCTCCATCGATCAGCCTGGCCACTCACGTTCAGATAATGCTGCGAATAGGATCCAGCTATGTTTTCATACATATTTTGTGTACAGGCAGTCCTCTGACTTACGACACAATTGGTTCCTGAAAACCACGTCTCAAGTTGAAACGTTGTAACTCGGAACCAATTTTCTCATAAGAAACAACGTTATAAATGGGGGAATGGTTCCTGAACCAAGGCCCAATACCCTATTTTCACCAAAAATAACCCAGCATTTTGTACTCGATCAATTATAGATGAGTAATATAGCTATATTAATGTATTTATATTGTAAATAGCAATCATATTGATGTGGAAGGACTTCTTTGAGGTGACTTTGCTGGACTTTTTGAAGGGCTCTTGGTTGGACTTTTTGAAGGGTTGTTGGCTGGAGTCTTCTTAGGAGTCTTGGCTGCAGGTTTTTCCTGGAGTCTTGTCTGCTTTCTTAAAGAAAGTGTCCAAGGAAGTTTGGACAGATGTTCTCCAGGGAGATGCAATGCCATGCCATTGAACAAGTTCGCTGCATCACTCATTGGATCAAGCATTGTAAGTCAAAACTGGCATTGTAAAGTTGAAACAGGGTGGCAATTTATAAATGTTGTAAGTGCGAAATGTTGTGCAAGTCGAGGACTGCCTGTATAACCAGGGATCCTGGTTTTCTCTGATTTAAAAAAAAAAAATCACACTCACTCACTCACTCTACCTATAAATTGTGGTATTTGATTTTGGGTTTTTTACCATGGAAAATCTGAGCTCTCCCTGCCCCCTTAGCTCACAAGGACGCAGGGCCAGGCCCCTTGCTCTCCACCCACAGCCTGCTGGGCCCCCCTGCTGGAGTGGGACCTCAGCTGCCAGGGCTACAGGGTTAGGGACCTGGGTCCACAGCCCCCTGCAGCACTGCCTGAGCCCTGGCTGCTGCCTGTGGGTGGTGGTGGCTGCTGTAGCCTGAACGCAGAGCCTGGCTTCTCCTCCCCCACAGGTGGAACAGCTGGAGCCAGTAGCGGATGTGGGCTGCCTGCTATGGGCTGGGGCAGGGAAGGCGGCTCCCTGCCGAAGCACACAATCCTGGGAGACAGGGACACGTGCCCCCCAAATGTGTCCTCAGGGCAGAAGTGGGCTTGGGCTCTCTGCCCTGCTGCCCTCCCCCTGGGGCCTCTGCAGTCTGGCAGGTGTGGCAAGCCATAGTGGGACTGGGTGAGGAAGCTTGTTGCTGCTGCAAGGTGACGTGCCCCCTGTCTGCACTGGAGCAGCAGGAGTGGTGGCATGGGGTTGTGCCTCTTGCTGCTCCAGGGTGGCCTGGGGTGCATCACCAGGGCAGCACGGGGCTTTCAGCGACCACAGGGAGCTTCCTTGTTCTGCCCTGCTACACCAGGTCCCACCCACCGGGCTGCAGAGGTCCTGGGAGAGGGCAGCAGGGCAGGGAGCCCAAGTCCGCAGTGGGCAGCCAGCCCCATGCACATATCTGGGGAGCACGTGCTCCCCCTGCTCCTCTGAGAGCACAGTGGCGGGGGGGCTGGCTTCCTGGATGAGCCACACACAGCTCCATCCCGATCCCCGCCCCAAGCACCGGCCGGCTGGGCAGCAAGCCCCAGCTTTGCCCTACCTAACTCCTTCCCTCTCTCTCTGTGCGGGGCCTCAGTTCTTCCTCCCCACCACTTAACCTGTAGGAGCTGCTCTCCAGGCTGCCTGGCGGCTATGTGCATACACATGCACATGGTGCCCCTGCCTAACTGCCCTCCTTCCGCTCCCCCCAGCCTTTTGCAGGCTGGAGTGCTGCCGGCCTGCAGAAAACTCTTTGCAAAAGAGCAAAATCCATGCATTTCTCTGTTAAAATGAAAAATCTGCCTTTTTCTCAGGTAAAAGGGAAAATCCACGTTTTTTCTATTTTACCATGTGAAACAGAAAACCCGGATCCCTGGTAGTAGCTGTGTGGCTTATTTCTTGTTTAATGATAACATTCATTGCATTGTGTGGCCAAGTAGCTACTTTAAGACATGATTAACATTGTGCCAGAGGCCTTAGAGACTTTGTCCACAAGTGCGACACCCTCAGGAGAAAGTGTATTTCATTTTGTGCTTTAACAGTAGTTTTAACAATTTGGGGATGAAATAAATATGGAAATTATCAGATTCAACATTTTATTAGTGGTAAGCTACAGCTACTAGCTTATTATCTCTTTTAAATGTGTGTGATAGATGAGGCTTTCAGGACGCATTAATATTATAGAAGTTCCTTCATAAATATTTTGAGGGTTATACATGTGGTAATAGCGCAAGCAACTGCTGCAGCTTCCTGAGCCTGACGAAGGGTTTTTGAACCCGAAAGCTTTCTTAATAACTATTCTCCAACCATTTGGGTTGGTCTAATAAAAGATATCAAATTCACCCAAGGAACTTTGTCAGCTTATTGTTTGAATGTTTGTTGCCAGTCTCTTTGCTTTCCTCTTACTTAGAATGAAATCTATAATTTAAGGTCTTGACCCTACAAAAAGTTATCCATGTGCCAACTTGTGAATGCTGTTTTGTATTGTACATGCTCTTGGAGTACATAAGTAACTTACCTTGCACCAGGGCCTCAAATATTAGTGTAGCTTTCTTTGAAGTTTTAGAGCTTTATAACTTGTACACTGTTATGGGCAGCTTTTTTGCAGAGCGGAGCTAGACATGTTTGGTCAGGCACCCCAAGCTGACCACTTTTACTTTTGGTGCTGGCTTTAGCTAAGGACCCACTGTTCAGGATCTTCCCTCAGCTGCAGCTGAGTTAAGTCCATAGCACTACCACTCTGGGCTTGTAAGAGATACAAAAGAAACGAACAGAGTTAAACTAAATATAGACATTGGATTTATGACGCATTATAACCTGCCTGACATCTGACTCCCCAGGTACCTCTCCACTATTTACCTGCTATGTTCATCGCCCTTCTCTCTTCCTCCTCCCACCCCAAACCCCCTGACCCACTGATTCCTCAACTTACATCTTCACTGACTGCCTTTCTTGCATGCAGACCAGCTTCTTGCTTCTTTACTATTCATTCCATCCAGGAAGAGCACACACCAACTTCAGATGCTTCCTCAGCCTGACAAAGGGTTGTTGCACCCAAAAGCTTGCTAAGAAAAATTATTCCAACTATTTAAGTTGGTCTAATAAAGGATATCAGATTCACCCAAAGAACCTTGTCTAAACTACTACTTAGCTTCTCTCATTTCATGCTTCTAGCTGGCCAGGCTTTACTTGCCCTGTAGCCTCTTATCTTTCAGAGGATTTGATGGCCTGTAGGGCTTGTGCAAACAAATGAAAATGAAGTCTTGCTCACAGCTAGACCGCCGCTAGCCCTGAGCTCCCAGCAGCCTTGCTCTCTGCTAGTGCAGCTCCTGAGGCTGCTTTAGTGTCATTTTATTGCACTCTTTGCTGGTTCATGTGGCTGGCTCTCCCTCATGCCTGGGTTAGCTCACTTGCTGGGAGACTCCCTGCATCCCCAGACCTGGGTCCTCAGCCTCTGGTGAATCCCTCCAGCTCTGGAGTGGGTATTGGGCTGTTTGGGCCCCTCTACACCCATAGTAACAGGGCCAGGCCCTGTTACATTTGTCCATTTATCTAAGGTCTTTGATATAAGTTAAAATGAGAAATATTCACTAGTTCAACTCAGTTTTGACAGACATGTGCTTACTAATGCAAATATTGATAAAAACTAGATGAGGATAATTTAAATAAATACCCGTTAAACAATTAAATTTATGAACAATTAAAGTGTATGTTTTTTATTTGTTTGTTTGTTTACAGGTAGCCCTACGATTTCTGGTATGTCAGATATGGATTATCCTTTGCAAGGACCTGGTTTGCTCTCAATACCCAATCTTCCAGAGATCAGTTCAATCCGCCGAGTCCCACTTCCTCCAGAGCTAGTGGAGCAATTTGGACGTATCCTAATAAGATTAGGAATGCTAGTGTATATAATAATGTTGTAAATTAACATTACCTTTTTCATACACATCTCACATATTCCTACAACTTTCAGCTGACCAAATTAGGAGTTTGTCTTTGCTGGCCTGAATGCATTGTACTCCTTACATCTGTACTACTTCAGATATGCAGTGTAACTGTATGATGGGAGTATTTCCAGAAATCAACAGAGCTTGGTTGATCATCGACAGTGACATTTTTATGTGGAATTACGAAGATGGGTATGTAGAGAACACATTTCTGAGGGTCTGTTTGGTGTTAAATATGAATTACATGATGGCTGTTGTGGGATTGTCCTATTTTGTCATACACGTATACTCTGGATTGTAAAATATGTTGGTCATTTTAAGTGCCATAAAAACTTGATGTTGTATTAAAGCTAGAGTGCTGTAGCTGTGGTGATTCAGGAGCTATGCAAGAAGCAAAGTTTTATTTTGGTCATACCTTTTATTGGATCAATTGAATAATTAGGAGAGATATTAGTAAAACTTTTAGGCAAAAAAAAGTGTCCTTCCTCAGTGATCTGAGGGAGGGCACTCTGTGCCCAAAACTTGTCTGACATCTTTCCCAAGTGTACAGTTAGTCCAGTTTGATGTTACCGTACAAATTCAGTTTCACAGTTGGTCGGGTCGGAAGGGACCTAAGCAGATCATCAAGTCCAACCCCCTGCCATGGGCAGGAAGGGATGTTGGGCAGGTATCCGTCTAGCCTCCTTTTGAAGACCCCCAGGGTAGGGGCCAGCACCACTTCCCTTGGAAGTTGTTTCCAGCTCCTAGCCGCTGTGACAGTGAAGTAGTGCCTCTGATATCTAGCCTGAATCTACTCTCAGTCAACTTATGGCTGTTGTTCCTTGGTACCCCTGGTACTGCTCGGGGGAACAGGGGCTCTCCCATTGCCTGCTGGTCCCCCTTGGCAAGTTTATAGGCGGCCACCAGATCCCCTCTCAGTCATTTGTGGAGGCTGAACAAGTTCAGGTCCCGTAGCTTCTCCTCATAGGGCCTGCCTTGCTGCCCCCTGATCATGCGAGTGGCCCTCTGGACCCTCTCGAGTGGCCTACATTCCTCCTGAAGCGTGGCGCCCAGAACTGGACGCAGTACTCCAACTGTAGCCTGACCAGTGTCTCAGAGAGAGGGAGGATCACCTCCTTGGACCTGCTCGTGATGCATCTAAGGATGTGTGACAAGGTATGGTTAGCCTTCCTGACTGCTTCCCCACATTGGCAGCCCATGTTCATCTTGGAATCAGTAGTGACACTAAGATCCTTTACTGCCTCTGCTGACAAGAAGGGAGTTCCCCAGTCTGTAGGTATGCTGCTGGTTCTTCCTCCCCAGGTGCAACACCTTGCACTTGTCCATATTGAAACCCATTCTGTTCTCATCTGCCCACCTCTGTAATCTGTCCAGATCTAGTTGTAGTCTGTCCCTCTCTTCTAGCGTGCTCACTTCCCACATCTTTGTGTCGTCTGCGAACTTGAACAAGGTGCTTTTCACCCCCTCGTCCAAATCGCCGATGAAGATATTGAATAGTGCGGGCCCTAGGACCGATCCCTGGGGAACTCCACTGCCCACATCCCTCCAGGTCAAAAATGACTTGTCCACCACCACTCTCTGTGTGTGGCCGTCCAGCCAACTAGTGACCCATCTGACTGTGTAGGCGTCGACACCACAGTTGCCTAATTTTTTAATGAGGACGGGGTGAGAGACAGTGTCAAAGGCCTTCCTAAAGTCCAAAAAGACAACGTCCACCGCAACACCTGCATCCAAGGGTTTTGTGACCTGGTCATAGAAGGCCTGGCGGTTGGTCTGACAGGACCTGCCTCTAATGATCCCATGTTGGTTGCCCCTAAGCATAATCTATCCTGCTGACCCCTTGCAGATGTGCTTCTGGATAATTTTCTCAAGGAGCTTCCCCAGGACCAAGGTAAGACTAACAGGCCTATAGTTTCCTGGGTCCTGTTTCCTCCCTTTTTTGAAAATGAGGACCACATTGGCCCTTTTCCAGTCCTCTGGCACCTCACCAGAACACCATGAGTGCTCATAAAGCTGTGCCAAGGGTCCTGCAATGACCTCTACCAATTCCTTGCTTCAAAAAACTTAAAACACTCTACTGTTTTCTTTTGCTTTCCTGTCCAACTTCTGGATGGTAGGGGGTTGCATGCGTACGGTGCCCCCTGTTCCTTCTGCTGTACAGCAGCCTGTCTTTTACCTAATGTGTGTGCAGCTTGGCTCCCACTGCCACATGTGCACATCTTGGACCCTCAGGGCGTGCACCTTTCTTTTCCTCTTCAGCTTCCTGATGTTGTGGAGATGCTTCATGCACAGGCTACTTCCCAGCAGCTCCCTTGCCGAACAGGTGCAGGGCTTGCTTTGGCTCTCAGGTTGCTTCTGCCACCCCTGCCCCGAGTCATGCGCATATATACCCTCCCTCCCTCCTCCCCCT